GGGGGGGCGAAAAAAAAATTCTGCCCCGGGCGCCCAGAACTCTGGTTACGCCACTGCTGGGCAGAACTTCTGTTTTGCAGCAGACTGCCTTGTCTCAGGAATGGGTACACGGTGTCTGTGTATACGTTTCTATAGGCTTGTAACCTGAGCCAGCACTACAGGAAGAGGCCCTGAGCTGAAAAGGGAAGTTCTCCCCAAGCATGAGAAGACATGAGGATTTAAAAGGAAGAGCAGCAAAGAGAAGGGAAACTGCCATGGATTACAGTAAGGCACACATTACAGTATTGGTTTATGTTAAAAAATCTGGGGGTTTAATGTCACTTTAAGCTGCAGATTTGTTTTGCACCCTCAGGAGTTAATTTTTGTTTTACCCCCTCATGACACACAGAGTACTCCTTTATCACTGAGGGGGTTATTCACTGAGCTGCCAAAGTGGGGCCGAGTCACTGCAACATGGGCCTCTGGTCGTACTTGCCCCCTGGGCCAAAAGACGCCAGTCAGCCCCTGGATGTCCCCATTGGGAGATTTTTTTCCTCAGCTTTGTTCATGTCCTGTGACAAATGAAGATTTTTTTTTTTTGTATTTACTATCAGTTTCTGTTCCTATGACAAGGTTTCTCAGGGCAAATAGAAAGGGTGAATCTCCCCTGAGGCGCACACTAAAAACCTGACAAAAGGTTCAATATTTACCCACTCGATCCAAAACTAAAAAAAGTTTTGGCTTTAGATACACTTTAACACTGTAATATCATGCTTTATATGATTAGTAAATACATTTGGTTACTATTTGTAGTGATCTCTCTGTAGCATGCAGGGTGCTGTGCACTGATTAGGGTAAAGGCTTTTTGATTGTGTAGCGTCCCCCTTACTCGGTCAGCGATATCCCAGCACAGGATAACACTACCAGAGGCTCCTAAGGGGTGGCTCTACAGTAATAGAACTAGCGGGTCTCCCTGTGTTTCCTCCATAAGAAACTCTACTATGGATCCACAGCATGCCAGCACACCTTGAGTACTAGGGTCGGTTGTTATGGGTTACGGCAACTCCAAATTATTCTTGCCTAGGGATAATATTACTTTCGTTTGCCCATTAGCACTTACCGCTCTCTTGAGTAATCGATTGAAGTGATGTCCAGACTGTAGATATGATGCTGAGAACATTTTGCAGAAATTCAGGGAGAGAGGAGGGGGGTTAGGATCATCCAGGCAGATGTGGTCTCCATTACATTGCAGAGTGTAGTTACTGCTTCCATGCACAGCAGGTAGAGCACCTGACACAGCAATACTTGAGGTAGAAGTTGCTGGTCCTTGTCATCAGTAGAAACCACTGGATCTGCTGCTATCGGTCACCACGGTAATCACATGGCTAGTCCCCAGGCTTCAGGCCCAGCCATATCAGACAATCCATGGCAGCCTCCCCACAGGCAGGGCCCAGGGGAGGAAGAGAGAGCTCATGTGGTCCACCCCAAGTATTTATATCCTCCCCCACCATGCACCACTGACCATTGTCTTAACAGTGATTGACTGGAGAGGGATAGTCACTCAAAGCAGTCCCTCATTGGTTGCTCTGTTCTGTGACCAGGGTACACCCTGTAGTACACCTAGCAGCAGAGAGGTGCAAACAATGACAGATTGATTAGGGGAAACCAAATTAACCCAGACTACAAATCAGCATCAGACCACCTACAATCTGATAACACTAAATTTAATAGCACTCTGTACAGTAGGGTGGTACAATTGCTTTAGCCCCGTCTCACCATAACCTGTATGGTTAATCTTCCCAGCTGTGTTCCCTTTAAAATACAGTTATGTTTAGCATGCTTGAAAATCACTGGACTTTTTAAAAGGTGGCTGCTATATTGTGTGGGTGTAAAATACAGCCTGTACTCTGAAAAGTGGACATACTTTAACTAGATTGACAACACAAAGAAAGGAAAAGTAGAGTAATCTGTACCAACTAAAGTAGAAAACCAGTACTGCATCAGGGACAGGCAGACCCCCTTGTTAGCTTTTTTTTCATAGCTTTTCCTCAATGTCACACTTTCAAGTTTATCTGCCAGCATGAGTCCAGGCAGGATTCTATCCCACGCTGTTAGCATTTAACACAAGAAGTCAAATTTTTTTATTTAATGCAAGTCATGCTTATAAGAAGCATTGAGATTTCATGTAAGCAACTTTAACACCGAATCTCTAGTAAGCCTGCTACCAGAGGAAATTATTTTATGCTGCTGGCCTGGCAGTATGCCCTAATTGTAGTGACTGGAAATGGTAATTTCTATAGGCTTTTTATCAGCTTAATACCAGCAAGGCTTAGTTTGCATCAGTGCTCACAGGTATGTGAAAAAATTATACAACAAACTGCAATTTAACCTTGCGCTGCTTATTAGGGCAGTTGTTTTTTGACTTCATAATTCCTAATCCATATGCATCGGGTTGGATTTCTCTATGCAGGTCCAACGCAATAAAAGCTGAAATCCATTGTTTACACTAGGGCCAGTTTATAACATTGTGCTGCACTGGGTGAAAATAGAACATGGCTCCTGCAGTGGAAAAAATGCACATGATGCAATGCTTAAAAAAATGCATGTCATTGCAAGTGGTGTGAATCCAGCCGTCCTTCAAAATATACCAAATATAATTTCAGCTTCTTGTATATGGAAATGGTTATCTTCCAGCCATATTACAATAGACTGGATGGATGGAGATAGATAGATAGATAGCAGTGGCGTCACAAGGGGGGTGCGGGGGTGCCACCATTGGAGGGGTGACACCAAAATGACTGACAGTCATTTTGGTTTCACCCCTCCCTACGAAAAGTCGGGCACTCGGTCATGGACCGAGAGCCCGACAGTGTCAGGAGAAAGGAGGGGACCCGGCGGCATACCTTATCCCGCCGTGTGAATGTCCCCTCCTCTCTTTCGGCGTCCATAACCAAGATGGCTGCCGGCAGGCGTCAATAAGATAACCGTGCATGCGCGATGACATCACAGCGGGGTGTCACCCCCTTCTCCGCTCCGGGTGATACACAACCTCAGGACGCCCCTGAGATAGATAGATAGATAGATAGAAGTAACTGAGAGTTATACCTTTAATGGCTAACTAGAGCTAATCACAAGCAACAAGCAAAGACACAGGGTCCCTTTTGTCAGGCTAATTAAAATACAATTGAGAATAAATGTCATTTTATTGCTTAACTTCCAAACTAGGAAGTATAGAGGGCAAAAACAAATGTAAAGTAGGTATTTATTATAACTCCTGTGAGTGTCAGATTGTTGAGAGATACATGTCTGCAAAGATAACAGACATAAGCTATTTTGTTTTAGAATTTAGGTTGAAAATGTTCACAAGTATGGCTACATAACATCTTTACAAAATGATTTTTGGCTTCATCTGCTTTTGCATTTTCTGGAATTAGATTCACTGTGTACTTGTGTACTAGATGTTGGAAATTAAGTCCAATATCCTATGAGATGCAGTTGTGTTATCTGGGAGCTGGCAACTGTATTATATTGCAATTTTGACAAGAAGGTTCATTTTATCTAGAAAAATGTGGTCCAGGAACCTTTATTGTTACAAATACACCACTAATGTGCTTTGGTCAATTGTATTACATATGCAAGCATGTAGAGCTGGATAAAATGGAGAGAAACCTGCAGTGGGGGAATTCTGCTGTAAAAGATAGGATTGGCATGATTGTAATAAATCAAATGAGGGTATGGTTTATTAAATAGTTGGATTATCTACTTCTTGGACATTACATTAGGAAGACACTACAATCACAATACAATTCAAGACAAGATGGTAAGGAGGGCCCTGCACCTAAGGGCTTACAATCTAAAAGTTGACCTCCTTCTGACCTTCATTAGACCTGCTTTAAGCAGGATTTGCTTTCCCATGGACTTGAAGTTCACACCTGTTAACAGCACCAAAGTCCATTATCACAAACCCTAAAGCAGCCATAGATGAGATTGGTTCTAGCAGTTTCCTTTCTTTTATATAACATATAACCACAGCTTCTCCCTATGTATAATTATCTTACAGGTGGCAGAATTGGAGTCAAAGTCCCAGTCCACATTGACAGATACAGACCAAGAAAGCGACCTTACTGAAAGACTGCGGGATTTGGAAAGCCTACTAAAGAGTAAAGAAGAGGTAAATACTTAATCATATGTACATGTTACAGGCTTAAGTAGACACCCTGCAATACCAATGGTAGTGACACAGATTGATAAAAGTTTAGAAAAGCCATGGATATATATGAAAACATGGATGATTGGAGTCATGTAAAGGGAAGAGCTGACCTTGGAGAACTTTATTCTTGTTATTCTGCTTAGCCTTTTGAAACTGACTTGGCGAGAAAGGTGTTGCAGGGGTACAACACAGGAATCAATGTCCTAATTCCTTTAGTGAATTTGGATGTTGTTGTGTAATTTGCTGGGCAACCAGTGATAGGCATCTGAATTTAAGGACTGACTCATCAATAGTATAGTCCAGAAATAAGCAAAGGTAAGGGCAGATGAAGATTCAAACTGATGGCAGCCAGACAACAGAAGGAACCCATGGATGGGCTGGATTAAAAAACATATCAATAGTCTGCTTTCATAGAACAGGGTACTTAGGCGCATAAAAACCAAAAGGAATCAGTTGTTCAAGCACAGTGTCAGTGCACTGAGCAAAACTTTTATGTACTGCCAGTGGACATCACTGGCATGGTGGACCATGCCTGTGTTATAACATAGGAAATTAGCATTTAGAAGTATGTTTTATTTAGGTATGAAAGAAGAGGCTAACCTAATGCAACCAGCAAGTACAAAGTGTCTGAATTTCTAAGGCAGTTAATATTTTGATACAGATTGTAGTCCATATACTGTATATAGAGATATAATGGTTTTCCTTCACTCTGGCTATAGGAGATACTCCATCTGAAAGGACAAAGACCAGACCTCACAGAACTGGAGAGTGAGCGAGATGATCTCTTGCAGAAGCTACGGGTAAGATACATTAGGTTTACAGCTTAGATTTGATTTGCCTAATTGATAAATAAACTTTCATACGTGAATGATAGTTGACTAATGGGATGTTTTTAACTGGATGGGATGATTATAATATCTCTTTTGGGATGGCCAGAAACCTACCGCTTGACCAATCTTGGATGGAACATCAACTGGACAAGTTATAAAACATATCTTAATCGTGTTTCACCCGCAGGCTTATTCATAGAGGTAACAAATACAGACCAGTATCTCACTTAAATGTGTTCAAAAGCATTGCTTCCTGCATCTGTGTAGGGTGCATTTAAGTGAGATACTGGTCTGTATTTGTTACCTGAGCAGAGAAGCAAATAAGTGAAAATTTAAAAAAAAAATGTGCAAAATGATTTTAAAAACATTAAACATTTTAAAAAAAAATATATATTTTAAAGAAAAAAAATTAGGCGGAGCTAGCGGTGACGGCTAGCTCCGCCCAACTGTTTCCTATTGGCCGGCACCTGCTAGAGTCTTCTAGCAGGTCCCCGCCAATGAATAACAACTGGGTGGAGCCGGCCATGACTTCACGACTGGCTCCGCCCCGTTTGTTATTGTTTAATGACAGATCAGCGTCCCCAGGTCATTTACAACTGGGCGGAGCCAGCCTAGAGATCACGGCTGTCTCTGCTTCGGCTGTCACTTCGGCTCAGTCGAGCTGAAGCATATGCCTTCGGCTCGGCCGAGCTGCTCAGCTGCCTTCAGCTGCTGTAGAAGCTATTGTGAGTAGCTCCTACAGCAGCCCTTTAGTTCGACTGTGTACCTTCAATGGTAGTACATACATCTCTGATTCTCTGATTGATCCTTGCTGCTCTCATCCATTGTATTTTGGGTAAGAAAGATTTCTTCATCCCTATTGGGTTAATTTATGTACCTATTTGTATAGCTTTAGTGGAGTGAAGGTTGTGGTGACTGAAGATTTAGGGGGATATTCACAAAGCTGCTGAAGGCAGCCGAGTGAATAACCCAGCCGAAGTGAAGTGAGCCAAACTACGTTCGGCTATTCACTCCGGCTCAGTACGGCTAATTTCAGCCGTGTATCGTCTGAAATCAGCCATACATCGGCTGCACCACGGTCAGCCGAACATGCTCTGCATGTTCGTCTGAGCCAAAGTGCAGAAGGATTCAACTCAGCCAATCCAGCATCTGGATCGGCTGAGCCGAAGCTCCGGCAGCTCGCTTGCTGCCGTTCACCCCTATACTCATAGGGGCCGAATGGCAGTGAGTGAATAGCCAAATGCCGCCAAGCAGCATTCGACTCAGCTATTCTGCTTGGTACCTCCGTGTTACCGAGCAGAATAGAAAGTGAGTGAAAATAGTTAAAAATAAAAAAAAAGGTTGAAAAAATATATTTTTTAAATGTAAACAAATAGCAAAAGTAAAAAATAAATATATTTAACCCCTTCATGACTGAGGCCTTTTTTTCCATTTTTTGCACGCATGTTATATTCCACATTTTAGGCCTGAAAATTACTTAAACCCCCAAACATTATATATTTTCTGAATGCCAAGACCCTATAGAATGGGGGTAGTTGCAAATTTTTATGTAGCGCAATATTAGCGCAACTCCTTATTAAACTCCAAAATTTAGTGACAAATTTAATTAAATGCCCCAGAACACAATAAAATACCCATTTTTTTAATGAATATAAAAGATGAGGTTACAATGAGTAAAACGATACCCAACATGCCCAGTTTACAAATTGCGTGCTGGGGGGGCTTACAAGCCCCCCCATGTGATAGCAGATGGTGGTGACAGGTACTCTTTAAGGTGATGCTGGGGGTCCAAAAGACCCCCAGTGTCACCTTTACACTGGAAATAAGCTATTGAAGTGCAGATCGCATAGAACCCATAGAACGGGGAGGGGATCGATGAACGGAAGTTTGTCGACCTCCTCCCCAGCTCCCCGCGGACACCAAGGACGCCGGTCCCGGGCCCGTAGGAGGAGCAACGGAGCCCGGGAAGCACGGCGGGGGAGTCCAGCGGGGGCGGCCCCTTCTTCGGGACACAGAAGCGATCTGGCGACAGGTAAGTCGCCAGAATCGCTTCTTTTGTAAAGCCGACAGTCGGCTTTACAAGTTTAAACAGCCCCGAAGGGGTTAAAAATAGAAATGAAAAAAATAAAAAAAACAACAATTGGGCGTAGCTAGCAGTGACAGCTAGCACCGCCCAACTGTTTCCTATTGGCCGGCACCTGGTAGAGTCTTCTAGCAGGTCCCGGCCAATGAACAAGAACTGGGCAGAGCCAGCCATGACGTCACGGCCGGCTCCGCCCAGTTGTTATTGTTTAATGACAGATCAGTGTCCCCAGGACATTTGCGGACGCTGATCCGTCATTACAACTGGGCGGAGCCAGCTGTACGCCCCGCTTCGGCTCAGTCGAACCGAAGCATATGCCTTCGGCTCGGCTGAGCCGCCCGGCCACCTTTGGCTGCTGTACGGGCTTTTGTGAACAGCCCGTACAGCAGCTTTTCGGTTTGAGTGAACCAAAGGGCTCCAGTGGCCGAAGAGAGCCGAAAGATCAGCCGAAGCTACGTCTGGATCCTTCGGCTCCTTCGTGAATAACCCTGTTAGGGGGAAGAAAAGTGACTACTACCGATGATCCTGAAGTTGAATTTAAAAAAGGCCAAAAAATACCAGTATATTGCAAAGTTCTTTTTAAATGTTATGTCTATTAATTTAATTTACTTTTAAGGTACACTTATCCATTTTAATGTAATATAACTTGAAGCTTATTAAAGTATTAAAACTGTTCCCAACACAGATGCCAACTGCTACCTTAAAATGTTAAATATGCCACTAAATTAGTTATTGATTATGTCCTACTCAGAAGCTGCTTATCCTTTGCTTCATTAGACCAGCTTAAAGCGAACCTGAATTTAAAAAGTGTAGATTTGCTATCTTGTAGATAACATCTACAAATGATAATTGCATATAAGCAGTAGCCTGAAAAATCTAGCTTTTGTATGGAATTACTAATGAAAAATAGCAGCTCACTTCCTGCCAAGGTGACAGACGGGACTTGTAGTTTCTGCATTCACAAATCTTGTCAAATATCTAGGAATAGATGACGCTGCCATGCAGGCGAAGCCACACATAAATTTTCAAACCACCAAACAATGATACATGTTCTGAAAGCAGAGGCGCTATAGAATTAAAAAAAAATGCTAGTTGCAATTTTTTATGTCGCCTGGTATTCGCGCAAATGTTTATCAAAACAGTATTTTTAGGATAAAAAAAACAATTAAAATGTAGTGCACAGAAACAAAATATAATACCCTATTTTTTGGTAAAATATAAAAGACGGGGTCACATCGAGTAAATAGACACCAAACATGTCAATCCTTAAAATTACGTTCACGCAGGAAGCCGCAAAAAACGTAAATACCCAAAATTTGCCATAGGGGACACTTTTGGGGTCCCTAATGTCACCTAGGGACCCCAAAGAAGCTGAGGAAGCAGAGATCTGCTTCCCCAGCTTCATCTCCTGTCTCTACGAGCCGGAGACTGAAAATAGTGACACCGAAAGTTATGTAATACACATCACTTCGAGGTACAGTGATCGGAGGAGAGATCAGTGGCTGGAAGCCGCTGAATCTCTCTCCGATTGTTGCGGGAGACCCGCCTAGCCGGTCCCAGGGCCAGGCAGGTACAGTGGAGCCCGGGGAAGCCAAATTCCGCACATCGCTGCTCGGTAAAAACGATCCGGCAGCTGTATAGACGCCGGATCGCTTGTACATTAACAGCCATCGCCGGCTGTTAAAAACGACACCAAGAACAAGCAGCAGTGTTCTTGTTTTAACCACTTCTGCGGGCCGCCGTATAAAGATGTATTGCGACCCGGGAGTGGTTAAACAAACATATTTTTATTTTACTTCCAATTTCTTTTTTTTCTACTTCCTGGCTTCCTGGGAAGGTTACATCAGCAGAGCATTGCTGGGAAATCTCACGAGATCTCAGTGAAATGCATTTTCCTCCCTGAGATGATGTGCATGGTCACATGTCCTAGTCACATGTGCCAGAGTTCCAGGAAGTAAAGGGAGACCTAGTAACCTGCATATACAAAAAATAAAAGCCGACAATTAAATAGAAATATGTGTTTGTAGATTGTAATTACTAAACCTTTCTAAAGGTACCTTTGTTATTATTTTGAAGATATGGGTAAAGGTCCTCTTTAAAAAACTTTTTCCATCATTTTCACACAAATTGTCAATGTAGATGTGACTTTGGGTATCTCTTGCTAAACAATGAATAAGCAAGGAATTGTAATTTCTCTGCACATTGCAGCAATATGGGTGCTAAGCTGTTAGTTGAAAACTGTCTTTGCTGCAGCTTGTCTGTCTTTATGTATACAATTTCCATACAAGGCCAGTGAAGCTGCTGCACCGTTCAAGGAGAGAGTCAAGATTAAAAGAAAAACATTTTTGCACAGATACAGTAGTTCTGCAGCTGTACAGTCGGCATTTGCAGATCATCTTGCAGTTTCTAGTGCATAGCATCTCCAGTTTTAGGACATGTAGTGTAACAGATTTTGTCAGACGGTACAGGAAATTATCACTTGTGATGACATTTAACCCGTGGATTATATATTTCTATACATTTGTGTCTTGAATTCTCTTTAATTCACGTGGCTTTGTTTAGCTGTGCATTCTCATTGTCAGCTTACTCCGGGTTGCCATGGCAATTCTTTGCCCTGATGCTTTGTTGAAGGATACAGAGCTAGCTCCCTGTTATTCTAACATGTTGGAAGGGAGAAGTTCAGAATAAGGGGGGAGCACTTTATTCCACACTCCACATGAAGCAAGCTAGGTCTCCACTGAGATTTCCTTACAGAGCAAAACCTTTCAGTGTGTTTGTCTATGTACTGTGTGTGTATATATTCATACAGGTACACATACATTTATGTACATTACCTCGGCTTCTTAGTAACACAAAAATCTTATTGTATTTTAGTACAGATAACAAT